AAATATTACCTCTAATTCTGTGGATTTTATTTTCACTTTATCGCTCATGTCCTCTGAAGCACAAAAGTTTAAGTTTTGATGAAACCCAATTTATCTATTCTGTCTCTATTATGCAATGGCAACATCTAGAAAAGAATGTCCTTGTCCCCTGCTTTTGAAATAGCAGGGAGAAAAAATATTTTTCTTCTGTAGGCCTCCCACTCCCATGCAGTAACAGTAAGAGAGAATTTCCTCCACATTTAGGGAAGGCCAAGGAGGATGCCAATTGTGCCAACTGCTTACATGTAAAAAATGCTAAGTAATAAGATTTTTATATCCCTGGGATTTCTGACATACCTATGAAACAATTTGAGAAAAGAAAGTTTATAGAAACTCACACAACAGACCTCATTTTTGAGCATCTATCGTGTATCAGATCCTTCACTAGTCCTGAATAAGGTGGGCGTGGTCCCTGCCATCTTAGAGCATATGATTTCATGGGGCTACAGAGAAGCTATCAGAACACAGTATAAGAAGCTATCAGAACACAGTATATTAAGCGAGCAAAAAGGATGTATAAGGTGCTTTTGGATACATGTAAGAAAGGACCCCTAACTTATCCTCCTAAAAGAAATGACAACTTTTCTAACATCTGAAGGATAACACATGCGTTGGTTATGAAACGGGGAGGAGAGAAGAAACAAGGGAAAAGGTAAAGAAAAAGAGACGATCACAGGGAAGGTCTGGTGGGAAGAGAAATTTCGTCTGAACTGAAGATAGTAAAGGGCAGCGGTAAGAGACAGGACAGCGTAATAAACCTTGTATTTGGGGTGAGGCTGAATCATTGATCCAAACTACAAAGCTGGAAAAGAACATAACCGTGGGATTACATGGTGAGCTAATTTTCACATTGAATGCTAATGTCTCTAGGCAGTTGGAGACAAAATAGAAAAAGCGAGAAGTCTATTTGGGGAGCATAGCTTTGGAAGAAATTTTAACAGCGGCTGAACCAGAGTGGAGAAGGTTGCTTAGAAAATGAATGACGAGAAAGGGAGAACCCAGAGCAGAGAACAATGTTTGGATCTGAGGGCCCCTCCACAGTCAGCGAGGGCACTGAACACTAGGTCACCTTCCCAGCATCCTCTGTGTCTCTTCCCCCTTCCTAACGGAGCCCTGATTTAGTTCGGGTCTTCACCCCCCACCAGACAACCCACGGAATTTAGAAGAATCTGACTCTCTCCTGGCTCCAGGGTTGATGTGTTGTTTAAAGAAAATCTCATAACACTCGCCAGTAATTCATCCCGAGTGAAAATGTGACAAATTGGCTTAGACTGAAGGGAAATAGTTTTGCCCCCTGCCTGATGGAGAGCTACATGATTTTTTTTCCTGCTGGAAGCTTGTCGCCTCAGCCTGTTGCCAGCTGCTTGGTTTCTCAGACTCCCTCATAACTGTGAGTGCCTATGTGACATGGTTATGACCAATAGGACAGGGTCTGCTAAGAGGTTTCTAGGCCATTTCGGGCTGGTTCAACAACGTTCGAAGCCTCCAAACATGTTTCAACCCTCCGTTCCGGCTGCTGCTGGCAGCAATCTTGTAGAAAGCAGACACGAAGACAAAGCTGACCAAGGAGGAAGCTCAGAGACAGAAAACCTTCCCCCTGCTCTCACTGTCCCTGAGGTCTGCCCTACGGCTGGGCTTCCTTCACAGGAGTCAGTGAATTCCTTATTGTTTAAGTCAGGTTTGAGTGGCATTTCTGCTATTCGAACTTGAAAGCATCCTAAAAGCTACAGTAGGAAAATCAACTTACAAAGAGACCAAGAGAAAAAGATTAGCTGGTGGAAAGAGAATCAGAAGAGCTCAGTGTGATACGATCTGAGACAGGATAGAATTTCACGAAGGAAAGAAGCACCCACAGTGCCACACGTGTTACACTTCCCAAGGTAGATATTTTCCCTGCACTCCTTCTGCTCTGGATACAAAACCTCTTTAAATTAATCTTCATTCACTGTCACCATGCCATGGTTTTCTGATTTACAAAATGTTCAAAGGCTAACTGACAGCAGCCTACTTTGAGACTGGATTATGATGATTACTATGGATTACAATTTGTTTATGATGATTATAAGATGTGTTTTTACAGTGAAATACAGAATAGACATGGTCAAGGAAGGCTTATTTAATGCCAGTTCATTGAAACCACATTGGAACTTTTCTCTTCTCCAAATAGAACAAATTAATCAGTAAAGTCGTGTAAGTCTTATAGACACATTTCAGTCAAGATGTTCTTTAAAAAAAAAAAAAAATTAAAAAATGTAAAACATATATCTAAAGATTGAGAAAACAGTTTAAGAAACCCCCAAACACCTATCACCAGATTCCAAAATTGTCATTGTTCTGTCACTCTTGCTTTTCCCTCCCTGCTCTCCGAGATGAGTGAATGTAGCTACATTGCTGGTGGTAAAAGTAGCCCAGTGGTTCTGCACCTCGGTCACCTGACCCTACTTGAGCGGCAGTGGACTGGGGCGGGCACTTGCTAGACTTGTACTGCTGCCTGCAATCTAGACCAGCACAACGGCTAAACCTAACACCCTTTCTCAAGGTGGGAAAGTTTGAGTATAAATGAACACAAAGAGGAATGGCAGCTGAGGGTAAAGGAATGGATGAATGGCTTATGTAAAGAGGGAAGTCCAATATTATATCAACATCTCAAAAGAGGTTCCAGGCAAGAGGTGATATTACCTCTTAGCTCGATTATACCAGATGCCTGAAAGGGTGAAGCCATGCGTGGCTAAGACCTCTCCTACTTTTAGAAACTGACAAGATCCACGAAACTGACAAGATCCACGGAGGCCTGCCAACCCAAGTGGCCTTGCCCTGGTAGGTATTTTCATATGATGACAGACTGGACTCCTTATTAATGACTGAACAGGAATCCGGAAATGTGCCAGTATCTATTAACTGTTACAATCCTTTCGTTAAAAGGGATCCATCCACTGGGGGGTGGCCGGTGGTATAAGAGGATATAGATTTGGTCTTTGCTCCAGGTTCCTGGTACAGAGCTCCTGAAACCCTTGGAATTTCCTGAATAACAGGAGAGTCTTTTGTCATTCATTAGGAACCCCTTTTGAGCACACTTAACTTTTATGTTAAAGAAGTGACTTAGGATGGGGCCCCTAGATAGTCTCAGGATGGGGGTGGTCACCAAAAAGACCAAATGATTAGAAGGTTGGAACTTTCAGCCTCAGCCACCAACCACTGGGAAGGGAAACAGGTGCTGCAGGTTAAGGTCTATAAAAACTCCTGAACCTCAAGGTTTGATGCGTTTTCGCATTGCTGAAAGCATCCACACGCCACGAGGATGGCATGCCCAGTCCCATGGGGACAGAAGCTCCTGCACTCGGGCCCTTCTAGACCTGCCCTGTGCACCTCTTCATCGAGCTGTTCATCTGTATCCTCTGTATCATCCCTTAAAAAACTAGTAAACCTAAATAAGTATTTCTGAGTTCTGTGAGCCACTCTAGCATACTGATCAAACCCAAGGAGGGGGTTGTAGGGATCTCTGATTTATAGCTGGTTTGTCAGAAACACAGGTGACAACCTGGACTTGCAACTGGCGAATCAAACCCAAGGAGGGGGTTGTAGGGATCTCCGATTTATAGTTGGTTTGTCAGAAACACAACCTGGACTTGCAACTGGCGTCTAAAATAGGTGCAGTCTCGTGGGACTGAGCCCTTGACCTGCGAACCTGATGCTATCTCCAGGTGGACAGTGTTGGAATAATGTTAATTTGTAGGACACTTCGTGTTCACTGAGAACTGGAGAACTGCTTGGTGGTATTGGAACACACCACCAAGACGTAAAGTCAGCTGCTTAAAAATCAGAGTGTTTTTTCTTATACAAACAATGTACATATGGCAGTTACAGTCTCAGGTTGAACCACTGAAGCCCATCTAACCCATAATATAGATGACATCTTTCACATTTTGAGTAGAAAACAATACTATTGAAACTATAATGTCTTTAAGAAGAAGGAGGAGCTCACCAAAGCAATAGTAAACTTCTACCAGCCTTTACCAAAATCACCAAGTAGATATCCTTACAGTCTGGATATAATCTACCAATATAAAAGCTTTCAATTTTTTGCTGCTTCTTCTTCTTCTTCTTTTTTTTCCCCTTTGGCCATTAAGTTGTTAGAATCACTTAGTTTCTCTGCCACCGCATTTTCTAAAAAATATTTATGCCTATTTTTTCTTTAAATTGTCTCAGGACTAGTGATTCTCAAAGTATGGTCCGGGGACACCTAGGGGTTCCCGAGGTCCTTTGAGGGGGTCTGCAAGATCAAAACTATTTTCTTAATAATACAAGGATGTTATTTGCTCTATTCATGTTCATTCTTTTACGGGTACACAATGGAGCTTTCTAGAAGCTACATAAGGTATGGGTGTTACATACGAAGTAGGTGTGAGAATCCTCTTGTCTTCTATTGGGCCAGACATCCAAGAAATTTGTGAAAATATAAAAGCAATTCCAATCTTCTCACTACACTTACATTTATTGTTTTGAAGAGATAGTTATTTTTTAAAAAGTTATTATATTAATATGTAGACATTCTTACAGTTTGGGTTTAATCTACTAATGGGAGTTATTTTTAAAGAATTCATAAATAATTGTTATATTTTCTTTCAGTTTCAATTTCTGAGAATTATACTGATAGACATAACCAGCACACATACAGACAAACTCTTTGGGGTGCTCAATAATTTTTAACCGTATGAAGGGGTCCTAAAGCTGAAATGTTTGAGAACTGCTCTTCAAGAAATATTCCTCTCTTCACCATCTCGACTAACTAAACTTTTGGCTAATGGGATGACAAGATATTCTTTATACAATCTTTTTTGCAGATGTCACTGGCTATAAAATCTATCTCCCCCCTGACACGCCTTTCCATGAGAAGCATTCTCTGATTTTGAGAAGGAAAGAGATTACGATTAGGCGAGGCTGAAATCTAAGTTAACACTCACCTTCACTAATTCTGTGTAGCCCGTTTCCCTTGCGGTCCACCATGGCTGGGCTTTCAGTCCATTCACGTTGTAGAGCGAACGCTGCCAAACGGATGCAAAATGTCCCCTCTCGTGTCCAAGCTGGTACCACTTATACGCCTGAAATAACAGAAAAGTCAAACTTCAAATGAAGCGTTTTTAATTTAAAAATTAAAGTCAAAGTCACTAAAAGTAAGTCTTACTTTGTGACATTTAAATAAAGAGCTTGCTAGTCAGATGCCCAAGTCTGTTACACTGGTGAAAATACTGTTATTTGACTGGGTTTCCAATTATGGACTATTATTGTAAATGAATGTGCGCATTTTATTTTCACTCTTAGGTGCTAAGGTCTTTCAACACAGGAGTCATGCTGCACTTACTGGTCCTCACTGAGAGCATCCAGCATAGGGTCTAGGATGAATTTGTGGAGTAATAGATAATTTAAGACACTAAAGTAGACTATGTTTCAGCTTTCATTTATTAAATTATATTTTTATGTTTCCTTTAAAAGGAGAATTATGATTTTAATAATTTCTTCAAAGTTATTTGCATTTACCGAATCGGAATGCTAAAGTCGAGAGTATCTTTTCACGTACATGTTCTTTCCATGTCTGCATTTAAGAAGGCGACCCCAAGGTAGCAGAGTGCAAATACTCTATTAAATTAAGTAGACAAAAGGAAATATTATTCTGATTTGGCGTCACTACCAAGATAGCCCATATTAGATTTTTTTAAAAGGTGGTTTTTGTTCCTTTTCGTTGTTGTTCTGCCATAAGGGATAACATTTGTGGCTGTGGGCTAGCTGTAACATGATACGACTTGCCTCCAAGACTAGTCTTCTCAGGGACAGCTGGCTGCAGAGTATGCCACTCCATATGTCTCTTTCAAATGACACCCCAACCATATGCTCTCCTGGTGGCCCTCCCCACGTTTCTGAAGCGTGCACACTCCACCGTCCTTACAATGGAAGACGATCCTAGGGGTACACTCAACAGCATCCCCTCCGTTACTGTAAGCCTGATCTAATGATTACTTTTGAAGAGTGATTTCAAATACACATTTTGATCAATTAAACATAGGCATTGTAGTGACCTCACCTTTAGAAACAATAGGTTAAGGATAAGACATGGTACGTGCTAACCGCCATGTCTCACTTCTAGTTAGTTATCTGCTAAAAATTTATTAACTAGAGGGATTTACTGGCCGGATCACTGCCTATAGGTACAAAATATTTTAACAATGACGCATTCTGCTTCTGTACCCCTGCTTGCTTACCCACTCTTAGTTATCAGTTAATGAATGGAGGAGATATAGTCTTTTGTGTAAAAATTAAGGATGTGGGGGATGGAATCGAGGGCTTAAAACCTTTGTGCCCCTGCGCCTCGGGGCTGCTCCTTGGCAAGGACAGCCGCCGGCTAATAAACTGTCTCTTGGATTAGAGCACTCGAGTTGGGCCTGGTTATTTCGGTCACAACAGCATTTAATATCAAGCAGATCAAGATATCATAAGTATATTATAAGACTCCAGATATACTTTAAATGGAAACTATATTAACTTTTAAAAGCCTTTTAAAATTCATATTTCAAAATTTCCTTCATTAGGAAAATCAAGCGTGATAGCAACACCGCTTCATATTTTCAGAAACATTTTTCAGTTTAATATGTGCTTTTATGTGTGTACTGTATTTGATCTTTCTAATAACTGCAAATATCTTCAATTTACAAATGTTGAAACTGAGGTTTAAAAAGGCTAAATATCTTGAACTATAGCTATAGCCTAGGGCTCCTGGCGACTTGTTCCAAAAATTCTTCTATCTTTGCATCATTAAAAAAAAAAAAAAAAAAAGCATAAAAAGTTCTTATTTAATTACCTTTCTCAATAATGTCTCAAATTAAGAATGTATATACTGACTCCTCTCATATGTTTTCTGTGAAAAACATGTACGTTGAGGCCATAAAATAGATTTCTTAAAAACCATAAACTTAAAATAGCTAATTGTCTGATTTTTTAAAAAAATAACACTTTACCTTTAATTTGACTATTTTTGTTATTTTTGTCCAATTTAAATTTAGGATTATATTTTATATATTTTAGTGCTAAAGTGAACAACAATATTAATTACAACAGATAATTTCTTAAAACTCTTAAAACTTATTATTTTTGAATCATCGGCAATTTATTTTATGGACGAGGCACATCGTTAGAATAGTCAGAAAGAATTATTATAAGAAACCAAAACAGCAAACCTTATAATTCTAGTGGTACGTTAGAAGTCTTAGATTTTAGCCCTGGCTTTAATTCACCTTTTATTCACCTTGCTGGATGCCTAGGCATGTCACTTAGCTTACAATGTCACATTTAAACTATCTTTAAGTTCTTTTCTGACACTCAAAGTTGTCCTACTGGACCCTTACTTCTGTACCCCTCTGCCATTTAACTTTTAGGGAAACAAACCATGACGATGATAAATGAGGAATTTAAAAAATCTTCAACGACATTTTCAATGAAAATAAAATCATCTTCAATTACATAGAAGACTCAATGAATTCGGCCCAATTACCTTTTTAAAAAATATCTAAGCTACTTTACAGGAAGACTTGTTAGAAAAACAATGATCAAGAATCCTCTGAACATTTCCTTTTATACTACTAACTAAGGATACTAAAATAGACAGAAAGAACACATGGAGTCACCTTCATAAATGTGTTTACCATACTGCAAATCATTGCCAGGTATCACTCACACACACACACACACACACACACACACACACACAGTAATAGTATGTCGAATTATTCTAACTCAGAAAAGCCCAGGCCCCGTCTGGCGAGCAGGCATGTCACATGTGGCCCCAGCCGGAGCCTGTTATGCTTGGAGCACAGCGTGCCGTGGGGCCCGGGAGACACACCTGTGGCAAGAACGGTTGGCGGCGACTGGCCTGTGGAGGATCGTGAATGTCACCGCTTGAAAATGGAACTCTATTTTTATTTTGCACCATGGAGTTTTTGAGCATAAGATGGCCTGGAAATAAGTTAAGACTAAAGCAAGAAACAACAGCCAGGTGCTTACAGCCATCACTGATGTGCAAGGTAGCAACTGACCACCCTGGGCTGCCACGCTGGGGTGACAACACTGACAGAGCCAGAGGGGAGATGAGATGGATGCCAAAGACCCCAGGAAGCTGACTTCCCAGAATGCATCCGTCACTAGACTGGAGGGAGGAGGAGGCCTGCGGAAGGAGAGGGAGGAGCTAGAGCTGATTCGAGTCTTGAGCCCGGGAAGCTGGCAAGATCATCAAGTGAGAGACAGAACTCAGGAAGAAAAATGATTTAGAAGAAGACAAATGAGTTGTCACTGTGACAGCATGTGGTGACACTAAGCAGGCAGCAGACATGCAAATCTGGACTTTGATAGGAGATGAGAGCTAGCATGTGGATTTGGGAGTTATGGAAATATTGTAAACAGCTGAGGCTGAATTTCTAAGACTATCATGGTTTGTTTTCCTCCCTCTTCCCGTCCATATGAAACGCACCTGTTACGAAAATCTTCCTCAGAGGCAATTTTACTGTCAGCCTCTGCAGCACAGAGGCTGTGGGTCTGCTTCTCTTTCAATGCCTGGAGCAGAACTCCATGCACACAAGCATGGAGGATGGCTGCTTCGCAGTGTGCAAACTTGGAGTATGGCAGTCAATTCACAGATTTGATACCCAATATTAAGCGCATACTAACATGGAGTTTCTACAGGCTTATTTTTGTTCTTTGTAAGCATGAATCCTCGTGAATGTTTTAAATTCAAGAACTGTGCTGTTCCGTGCATATTATTAATAATAATTAAGCTGATAGAAGAGTCCCATAGGTTCAAATCCCAAGCCCTTAACACGTGTTTAGTAGTGAATTTTTTGACCTTGAAGTAAGGGCTATTTTCATCTAAGATGTGAGGTTAAATCATAGACTTCTTTTATCTGCCTTTGCCCTGGACTGTGAGATGTTCAAAGATAAATTAATTAGTGACGATTACATTTATAGCAATCAGAAATGAACATTTATCCAGTGTTAGATACTGCAGCAAAATCTCTTACCCCTCTCATTCAAAGGAGGTATCAGGCATTTACATCTAAAAGAATGAAGGAACACCAAAATGACTACCAACCAACAATTTCTTCTCCCTTTTTTCTCTTCACCTCTCATATCTCATTCTCATATTTCAGTTGACCGACTGGTGGTTTAGCGGGGAAAGGTACAGATACGTAGAAATATATAAAGAAAAATGTCAGTTTTCCAAATCTCTATTACTCCAAATTGGTTCATGTCTCTAGCTGGCAATTACTCTGTCACAAAACCCCTCGCTCCGATGAACCCTGAACTGTCCAATTGGTTCCATGTTCTTGATTAACTTTAGAAACACGAAGCCGACCCTTAGTCATCATTTTATCATATCTATGGGATGCAACGGTTACAAAGATTCTGTGTCTCACACCCCCCTTTTATTCCTGACTCTAAGGAGAGCCCAGCCAAGAAGCTTGTGATGGTGCAGGATGGAAAGGCGGGCTTTGCTGTCCAACAACGTTGTGTAAATCGCGGAGGGTTGTGGGAGTTTGGGAATTTACAGTAAATAATGTCATGATTAATGATCTAATGTTATGTTTAAACAAGCTGACATTGTACTCAGAAAAAAGTAATGATCACAAAGAAAACATGTAACTTTTTTATAGCTACTATATTTTCTGTGTCAGTACCTGTCATTACTACAGCTACAGGTGTTCATCTCAAAGCTGCTGTTAAACATTTCAGAAAGTAATTTATACAATTAACCTTTGGGTTCTGAGTGCTTAGGAATCCGCTGAATGAAGACTTCATTCTAAAATAACTACTTTTAAAATTCCACAATAAAATAAAAATAAATCTAACTAAACTGTTAATATCTCTTTATTTCATAATTTTACAAACACTTTTCAGGGCAATATCTACCACCCTCTCTATACACACGCACAGATACACACACAGACACACACGTACAGATAACAAGCACTAATTTAGAGGCTGCTCTTATGATTACGCACTCAGATACTCTCTGGAAAGAAACTATTAAAGTCAAATCCCAAAAATTCTTTATAGGTCTAAGTAGGGCCATTGGGTTGTTTCGAAAAGGTTTAAATCCCTACTTTTAAAAGTTTATGCTCGAAAATTTTTTTTCAGTCGTAACTCTCTCTTAGAAATGATCCGCGCCCCCTTTACCACAATCCACGCTCCGTTAGAACAAAAAGTTCAGACACACATTACCTCTTTGTTCCCAACCCTCTGCATGGCATCCCCCAGGTGGAAATAAAACCGTCCATCATCAGTGCCAGGATCCCCTGACTCGATTCCCTCCTGTAGAAAGGATGGTATTAGCATTTATGAAAGAAATATCACATTTAATTCATCGATTTACTTAATCTCTATTTCCATATGAAAATCTAAGAACCGGACAAATTCATCTCAACATTAAAGTTCGGCAATTAGGTTACTGGATAACATTTACAATGCAAAACCAAAAGGAGGTAATAAAAGTGAAAATTAGCAATATGTCATTAATTAACAATGAATGGATTGACTCATAACATTAGTATGATGCTTTGTAAATTGTCTCTGTGGGAGAAATCATATTTTAATATCCCAAAGAATTTCTTTGGCTGGGTATCTATCACATTTATTTTGTTCTTCAAATCTAAGCAGCTGTCATCTAGAAGCTTTTTACTTCCTGAATCAAAATGTTTAGTTGCTCACAGATGTTTGAAGTGATAGACACCCGACTGCAAATAATATTTTTTCCCACTCAAAACAAATATCTCATTTTTTAATAAAATCCTTTAGAAAACATACAATAGGATTAAAGCTAATTGGAATCTTGGAAAATGTAATCATTACACAAGTCTTATTCTAAAACACTTAGCTGATTTCCACCCTTGTCTCCCACATAAGAATTGAAATTAAATTTATTTTAAAAAAACAGAGAGAAACAAAATATTAAAGCAAGAGAATAATTTTTTAAAAGTAGAAGGACAAAAGTAAAACATATTTAAATGTCAAGGAATTCTTTTAAAAAATCTGCATCTTTGAGGCTTCTTCACAAGAAGCCATTTTACTGTTAAGAAATTTTATTTGCATAATGTTGAAAAGAAAGATAAGTGTGACTTAGGAGAGAAGGAGAGTTATGATCGGGGTCATGATCTTAACTGACTGACAGACACTCAAATAAATATCCTCATTCGTTACTGACCAATCCTTTCCCCATCTCTGAAGCAGGGAGAGCACTACTTGGCCCTTGTTATGTCAAAGGAAATCTAAGGTAAATACTTAAATCAGGGAAATGCGCATTCCCACAGGGTCCTGGCAGGGAATGGAGAGGTCTGCAGAGGCCCAGTGGCAGCCAAGACAGAATGGGGGGTGCACGCCCACCTCACGGGGACACCACTGCTGGGCTCCTGTGCTGGGATGTGGGCCAGCTATGACCTTTGAAGAGAAACCAGAAATCTGCACAATTATATAAAATGTTCAGATTCTCAACAGAGACAAGCAATTACAACTGTTTTTAGTAGAATTATATTGGCCAAATGTAACATGCAAGCTATCTGCGATCCGTGGGTTGCTATTCGGAATCTCTGATTTAAGTCATGTGAAAGAAAAAAAATCATAAAAGCATAATATATGCTGCTACTTAAAAAAAAAGTTCACAGGCATCTACTCGTCCAATATGGTACCCACTAGCTAATGTTAATATTCAAATTAAAATTAATTCACATTAAAATTAAAAATTCAATTCCTCAGTCACACTAGCCACATTTCAGGTGCTCGACAGCCACCTGTGGCTACCATATTGCAGAGTACAAATAAAGAACATTTCTACTGTGGGCAGCCCCGAGCTAGACCTAATGTGATTCTGGTGAACTGACAAGGATTCAACTAGATATGAGAGAGAAAAAAATAACAGTATACTTTAAGTATGCATTGAAATTAGTTTCAATGGGGGTCATGGCAACCTATTCAAAGGGAGGTAAAAAATGCAGACTGAATAGGTCAAACCCCAAAAGCCTAATAGCTCAAAATGTTCAGATTAAATTATAAAAGGAACATTTAATGCATTGCTCATATTTAAAGATATTATGTCACTAATTTTTGTCCATCCTAGACATTTCAATAAAAACTAATAACGACTGTAGTTTGAAGGATTTCTTCATCAAGTCTTTTCTGAAGAGTCTACTCACATAGTTGGTATTTCTATATTCGAAACTCTCAGTTCCAGTCAAGGTCCATCCTCCCCTATGACCATCATGGTCACAGGGCGTACAGTTTCATGGTGAAGAGACTTAGCAGTGTGTGCCAATCAACCTACAATGCATAATCAAGGGTGTCCAAAAGACTCAAAGGAATTGGAAGATGAAAAACCGAGCAAGGGCAGACACAGTTACCTTTAAATAGGGAATGCTTTCTGCAATCTTGTTCTGTGCCTTCAGGATAAAGCCATAATGTACTTTGGCAAAGCCATCATTAGGTGTCACATTCAGAACCTAAACTCAAAGAAAACAAAAAGCTATTGTGATTGACTACAAATTCTACAAATGACCGTCAAGACAAATTTTAATTAGCTTTGCTGTACTTAGATTGAATTATAATGTTATGGCTTAAAACACTCGTGTTTTGTTATCTTGCAATATATTGGGCTTAAATGCCCCATTTTCCCTGAACTCAGTGTTTTCATATCGACACATTAGTTCTTCGAGAATGAAGAAATGAATGAAAAGGCGAGACTGCTAAAGCACTGTTTTGACAACGTATATCAGTAAAATACCTGTCAATTGTTATGACTTTAGTAATTTTTTAGTGGTCAGGAAAAACTGCTTTAAATTTGCTATCTCAAACTCAACTCTGAACGGTTATTACGAATTTCTTTATATACACACTTCACATATCGCTTTAATTAAGAGAAAGTTTGGATGCATTCATAATAGGTCATGATCCGTTCATTCAAAAAATTTCCAGAAGTCCCAGCCCGTTTTAAGGACTGAGCATAAAGGGGTGAGCAAATCTAATATTCTGTGATAAAACTCGGGTAAGTATTTAATACTACCAAATCACTATTAACATTATATGCATTTATTATCATTAAACATAAATTATGCAAAATGCTTCTTTATTAAATATTAGCAGTGAGAAATGAAAACAAAAACATTCAACTTGCGAAGCTGTTTAGACAAACTAATTTACAGAACAAAAGTGAACGACGACGAAAGTCTGAGTTCAGTGAACATCCTGTAGCTTCTCTTCACCCTTGAGCCTGGGTAAGAAAGGAGAATGCAGCCACCATGGGCTCCTCACACAGGACTAAGTGTGCCGGGAGAGAGGACTCCAAGCCCTTGGCGAGCCCTCAGTACGTACTGCCAATACTTTAGTGTTTTCCAGCTTCTATCCGCTCCTGTAGCTCATCCATTAGCAAATCTGGCCAATGCTACCTTCACAATATCACACCCCTTGTCACCTGCTGCACTGTTGCCATCCTGCTCCAAGCCCATCATCTCACCCCTATCTTCTTACTGTTGACCCTCTGGACCCCAGCCCCGCCATCCTGTAGACCATTCTCTACGTGACGCCCTCAGCGGACTCACTAAATCTCACATCAGGCTCTGTTCAAAACCCAAAGGGGCTCCATTCACTCAGAGCAAGACCGAGTTCTAGGCACAGCCTCCAAGGCCTCCTTGAGCTGGGGCTCTCTACCTCTCTGGCCTCCTCTCCCATCTGCCTCCCACTCAGGCACCCTGGACTCTTTGCTGCTGTACAGCAAGCCAAAGGCCTTTGTGCTCCTTTGCGTCAAACGCTCTTCTCCCAGATATCCAGTGGCTTACTCCCTGGGCTCGATGAAGTCCTTGCTCGAAGGTTACCATCTCAGTGAAGCCTATGACCAACCACCCGAAATAAAACAGACTCTTACTCGCCCCCATTGCCATCACCAGTCATTTCCTAACTTCTTTATACCAACTCCTTTTTCTTCATAGCACTCATCACCATCTGACTTCTTATTACTTATTTTCCCCCATTAAGATACAAGCTCTACAGGGATTGTGTCTGTTGCACTCATTGCTGACCCTCAGTGCTTCGAACAGTGCCCGGCACATGGCACGTTGAGAAATCTGCACTAACTGAATGGATGTGCACGTGGGCTTTGCTTCCTGACTAGATCTCTGAAAGCACAGACTCTGCTTCTGCACCTTCCACGGCATCTATTTCTGAGCTAGTTGCTGAGCAAAAGCTCAATAGAGACGTCTGGAATGGAACTGAACTGAGGCCGATCACGCTTCTGGTAGCATAACTCTGAAGAGATTATTACAATGATCGCAGCTGCATCGACGACATTTCCGGCTACTATAGACACGCAGCCATCATCTCAAGTAATCAGCAAATGTGCTCATTTACTAGATGTGTTAGGAGACACAGACCACTTCTAGGCTCTGGGCACATACACATAAATGAGATGCACTCTCCTGTCTTAGGGAACTCTCAGTCAGGGGGTAGGGGGAGACCAACCCATAAGCAGACAATAGCAATGCAGTGTGTTAAGTGTAACCATAGCGACAGGCATGTGGCACGCAGGGGCTGTGGCGGAGTGAAGCCCAGCTCGCTCTAGGGTGGGTGTGGCGGGGCAAGGTCTGAAAGGTGTTCAGGGATGAGTAAGAGTTCACCAGGGAAAAGGAAGGTGGGGGACAGAGAGCCAGGAGGCACTTAAGCATAGGAAAAAGTGAATAAAAAGGAATAGTGGACCAGGAACAGCAAAAGGGAATGAGACTGAAGAAGAGGGCAGGAGGCAAATCACTCAAGGTCCTATTTAGTATCACAAGCAAGACAACCTGCTTCTCTTTGTACTGGTCTTTGAAATACAGCATTTAGCATGAGGCGTGCTCCAAGGCTCTCTTCCCATGTGCGTGGTGGACAGTCACAAGTCTCATCCACACACATCGGGAGGGGAGGGTGGGCGATCAGGCACCCAGAGTGCTGTCCTCTCTGCTTGATTCTTTATGATCACCTACTGTGCTAACAGTGCAGTTCACATGTGGATGGATGCACGATGGATGTGCAGGCTGTATTACCAGTTGTTATCAACCCTCGGAAAATGACAAGTGGCTTTATAAGATTTCTAAGAAACTGAGATTGATATTTATACTAACAATAGAACACAGATTCGCCGTTTCTCTCTGCACACATACACACACACACACACACAGCACAAACAACAAAAAAATGGGACAGCTGATATTTCTAACCCAGCACAAACTATCTGCATGACACTATTTGAGAGACCAGCATTTAAAAAATCAAATAACTATAAATGGTATTGCATATTGATATTCCTAAAATATTAATTTTTCAGTGAGAGCAAAAAGATTTGTTGGCAGTTAAATGAAATTTCTGAAGTATCTGAACTATTTCATTTTAAAACTTATTTAGAATGTTTACTTTTTATAAAGTGTATCACATATCTGCACACATGTATATACACACATAACACATAAATACGTAAACATACATATCGCAGGTATTTGCTTGAACATGTTTTACTGGAAGGTTATGCAATCAAGCATGTTTGAAGACAACCGCCATGGCCATTAGGAACCGCTGAGGAGTTAAAGCTGAGGGTAAGACGGTCGTATTTACGCTCTGCGCTGATGCAGGGCGGGGAGACAGGCCTGGACAGTATGAACTGTCCTAGTCCAGGGAAGAGATGATGAGTGCCTGGGTTAAAAAAGGAGGGGAACTGAAAAATATTCAGAGGGTAAAACTAAAAGAAACGAGCCATCTGGTTCCAGATCATAAACTCCATGGGGGCGCACTCTGTGCGTTCTCCCCTCACCCCCCCATTAACTGCTATTTCCCGAGCCACTGTGGTGGGTTTCAGTAAATACGTGTTGACTGAGTGAATGGGTCTGTGTGAGGAGCAAGGAGAGGGAGAATCAGGAATGATGCTCCACGTCCGCTGCGGGTGGCGTGGCTGATTGTCGGGGCACCGACGTGCAGGGAGACACGGGAGCGAGCTACGCCTGACCATGTTACAGTCAGTCTGCTGAAACCAAACACAGCAAAAAAACCCAGAAAGAGAGCGATCAACTATTTCTATAAATTTAGTCAGAGATAAAAACCAACATGAAAAAAATATAAAATTACACTATCGGTTTTCTGGAAAGGCTCATTGACTGAGATATAACATATCAGGATAAACTGGTTAAGAAAAGAGAATCCATTAGATATAGCTTATTAACTTAGAAGAGAGAGGAAAGAATAAAAGGCAAAGCCCATACATATTTTCAGTCTATTAAAGTTTCTTTTTTTTTAAAAAAAACCACTCAATTGTATTATATAGCTATATTTTAGACCTTCTGCATCCTATTGTGCTTATTCAGATGAGACTATGATTTCAAATGTATAAACAACAGCAGGGAAATTTTACTTTTCAAGATGAAGTAAAATGTTTCACATATCAGATTTAGTATCGGTTAAAAAGAGTGAATATATTCAAGGCAGGTTTTGAAAAGGGGAGGAGAGACAAATCCATAGTGGGTGAGAGAAACTAGCACGTTTTCAGATCCTGCCCTAATCTCACATGTGCTTAGAATGCAGGTGACACTTGATCATAATTTCTGGAAGAAAAGAAGAAAGGAAGGAAGGAAGGAAGGAAGGAAGGAAGGGAGGGAGGGAGGATTCCCTACCACTAAGAGATAAAGACAGACAGAAAGACAGAAAGAAAGGAAGGAAAGAAGGAAGGAAAGAAGGAAGGAAGGAAGGAAGGAAGGAAGGAAGGAGTCCTACAATTCCACCTTTGTGGACTTTGAATAATGGGTATAGCTGATATAGTTTGACAATTCTTACACTCATATGATCCTGAGTCCCTGATATACACGATCTTTCCCTTAACCAAACTGCAAGACAGGGCTCTCAGCATTATGTTTGGTCATTAGCAAATACAATGCCCCACGTGGACTTTTTTTTTGTGATCCGGAACAGGGACATTGGTGGATGCCACTTATTTTCAACACTGTAAGATTAATCCACTTTGTATAGATATTAGAGATGGTATAAAAACCAAAAGTCTTACTTCTGCACTCTCAGAAAATATAAAAAATATGACGAGAATGAAAAGCTAACTGCTCCAAAATTTAATGATTTTCAATGAAGCACCAACAGCAATAAAAATGAGTAGACCACTCCCCAGACTGAGTATGAAGTCACTGTACTACTTGACAGCATTTTAAAAACAGCA